CAATCTCTGTTGAACTAGCCCTACCCTCAACCTTCCCTGTGCTGCAGGGGAGAAGTCAGTGGATTGTCACACAGGGACATCATAGTGTTTTCTCTTAGAAAATGTCCAGAGACAGAGTGGTATGTACTTTTAGCTTTAGTTCCTAAGCATGGTACTAGATATGCTTGATGTTCTTTCCAAATCTAGGAATCCATTAACTTCAAGCAATTCTTAGAATAACAAGACATCAAAATGAGGTTTTAGAGAAAGAAATTCTAAGATCCAAAAATGTTGACACCAGCCCTTCCTGGGCTGTGTCTCCCTTCCACACACACACATTCTTCCTAGTTTATGTCAGTCATTCAAACCTCATTGACCCCTCCCCCCCATTACGCTCCCTTGGTGTCCTCCGTGCTCATTAGGTACTTACAAGATTATGTCATCTGTGTTCTTGTCTTTATACTAGACTTGAAGTTTGCTGTCTTTCCTCTTTGTGTCTCCAGGACTCAACAAGTGGTAAGCTCTTGGGAAATGCTTTTTGGGTAAAGAAGAAGAAATAAGAGAATGCCCTGAGAGACATCACACAAGTAGGAGACATGGTTTTTCTTTTCATGAGCCCAGACATATCCTACAAGGATAGAGTTTCCGCCATTCTCCTTATGGCCAACTGCATTCACCTTCTTCTTCTCCACGTGAGCCAAGCTTCCTGATGGAGACCATGGACATGGCTGGTCATTGTCATGGTTGTGACAGCATTTTTATTACCAGCTGTCCTTTACCCAGACAAGGGTGACCATAGGAGTATCCATCCATCCTATGAATAGGCCCTGACATAATGCATGACACTCATTGACATTTATTGATCCACTAAGTCATTGGTAGCCTCCTCACTCTGCCTGCCTCCAAGAATTAAAGGCTAAAAAATAAGCATATTTCAATGACTCCACCTACACATTTCAAGAATATTCTTGAATAGGCTCTTCAAAAACCAAACAAAGGAGCACCTAATTGTATCACTAAAGCTAAAGAGCACACAGAACAGCATCACTGGTCAAAGCCACTTACTGGGGCATTCTTTCAGTCATGGTCACCTCATGCTGTGCCAACACAAGCAAGAGCCACATGCAGAACCAAATCGTCCCACAGTGGGAGGCGACCTTCAGGGATCCTGGCCTCCACAGGTAACTTCACGTTGTCAATGTCACTTTTGTCCGAAAGCCAACATCCCTCAAACTAGGGAACTAACGAAGAAGTCAAGGATACAATTAAAGTAAACCACAAAGAATTAAGGGAAAAGTAATTGCCTGTAAGCAAGACAAAGAGGGGGTTTCATTTCCTACTGCCATGGCTATCATAAGGCGACAGCAGGGAGCCTGACCATCTCTGAGTGCGGGCTCCTGTCACACTCCAAAGCCACGTGCAGATGGCAACACAAACCCACAGCCACGAACCTGCTGAGGAGGGTCCGGTGCACTGGCCGCCGTGATTCTGTGCCAACTGGGCATTTGGGAACCACTGTGGGAAGAAGCTAAGATTCAGCGCTGGCTTAGCATTTGCAGATGGGGGTCCTGGGAGCTGTTGCAGACCCCCTCCGTGACTTGGACCGCCTCAGCTGGGATGCAGGGCCAGCAAACATGCCAGCAGGAGAGCAGGACGAGCTTCTTCCAAGATTCAGCGGTAATGTGAACACACAGAAGTGTTTCCAGGGAAATGGGAGAAGGAGGAAGAGAGACTCATTTGTCCACAGGGAGTGGGGGGGACGACGGAGTCCTTCGGTCCTGAATAGTTGCTGTTGGCTGTGAATAGTGACCATTGACAGGCTGAGGAAACACAAGATCCTTCTTGCATCTAAATTTTGGGTCCTGAGACCAGACACAAAAACTGTTTTGGGAACCACGACTGATCCTTGCCAAAATTTTTACTGGTTCATGGTGAAATCAGAAAATAATGACAGCAGAGAGTTTTTTGTAAAGCCAAATAGATTCATAAGGTAATATCTTGTTTTTTTTCTTATTAACACCCTCCCCCCTTTTAATGTTAAAATGTCTTTTCTTTTTCATGATTTTAGTGATATATATGAGGTGAAAGCCGTATCCTTTTGGTCTGACCTAGAACGTTCTGGTTGGCACACTGTGAGCTGGGCAGCCCTGCCAGACCTCTCTGCTTGCTTTGAAGGTTGTAGCTGGGCTGGAGACCACTCTGGAGAGGAGCAGCCCCCGCTCCAGAGGGTAGTCTTGACTCTTGCATTGAAAACTTTCAGCAGAACCTGAAACTCATTTAACATTGTGTGTCAACTATACTTCAATTAAAAAAAAAAGAAAGAAAAACTGTCAGCAGAAATTCTTGCAGCATCCAAACAATACCCAGGAGCCTGAAGGAAGGATCTATTGTGCAATAGATCTGCCCCGCTGTGTGAGTGAGCAAGTGTCCTGGATCCTCTCTCCCACCTCCTCTCACCCTGGAGGCATTTCATAAATCAGCAGAACTCCAAGGGCTCCTCCAAGCATACCCCAGGGTATCCAGAGGCTCTGCTCTCAGACAAGGGCACTGACTAGAATGAAAACCTAAAGGCCAGAGAGGCAGGTTTGCCCCCTTTATCCTTCCCAGAATGTAAGTCATCCCAAGATACAGTTCTAAGAACAGAACACAGAAGATACATCTGCTCGTTACTCATAAAAGCAGGGCATTATGAATGACTCATGATTAGTGTTTTTTTCAGAAAATGGTCTCCTGAAGACTCCCTGTCTTTGGAAGGCTCTTTGCAGGCGTCCTTCTGCTTCAGATTTTAAGAACATCTTGCCCTTCATCCACCCTGGCTTTTTCTTGTTCCTTTCATTTTTTAACCTTGCTAACCCATGGCACCTTCTTTCTGCAGTTGGAAGCATTGATGGCAGAAAAATTTACAGAGAGGCTACATGATGTAGTTAGTACAGAGAGCAAAGATCTGGTCCAAATAATAGACTCTTTGATCTTGGATTTTTTGGAGGCTTAATTTCTGTTGAAATTATGTCTAATATCTCAGCTCTACACATCTGACTGAGGATGGGTCAGAGGTAAATGTGTTTTCTTTATCCATTATCACCGGAATTCTCCCGGAATCGGGCTTGGACTAGTGCATGCTTGGATGTGATTGCATTCACCCATTCATTCATTTGCTTACGTGTTCACAGTCACTCCGTCAACTGCTTATTTATCAAATATTACTGAACAATTACCACCCGTGCTGAGCAGGTTGCTGCACCCTCTGCATACAGGCTGGCTTTCTCCTCCCCTCTGTCAAGTCTTCACTTACCTTTCTGAACAAAGTTTTCCCAACCGTGTTTCATTTGCACTTCTGCTGTGAAATTTGTAATGCCATTATTTTTCATTGTTTCCACATCTGCCTCCCTGACCATCATGTGAGCACCTGAGGTGGCAGCTGGGTCATAGCATTCCCTATGCCTACAATTCTTTCAGTCATGCTGACTAAGTTCCAGGTACCATTCCTGTCAATTTACATATATAAAGTCATTTAAACCTGGCAATTACCCTATCATTTATTTATTATCGTCATCCTCACCATACAGATAAGAAACTGAGGCTCCAAGAGTTTAAGTAATTTGCCCAAGTTCACACAGACGGTAAGTGATAGAAACAGGATTCGAGCCCAGTGGAGTGGTTCCTAATTCCACACAGTAACTATTATTTATTGGCCCCTCTATGTGGTCTTACCATTTATTGAATAAATTGACGGATTGATAATACCCATTGGCCTCATAAGAAAGTTGGGATGACATAATATGCAATAATCATGCCCAGTGTATAATGCACCCAAAGAGCAGGGATTTGTAGTGATCTTCAGATTCTGAAATCTTATTTTCATGCATAAACTTAATAGCGTATATCTCTATTTGTTGTACAACATCTCACATTATATTAATTACATAACTCTTTGGGAACATTCCATGAGAAACTCTTCCACTGAACTGAACATATTTCTTATCTCCTGAGCCCTGCTCTAATTCTCCTTCCAAATCAGTCTGCTAAGTTTAACTTGTAAATACATTTACTTGTGTCGTCCAGGTTTTAGTCAGAGAGAAAAAAAAATTGCAATTAGGTTGAAAATTCGTGATTTTGGAAATGAGAAATAAATCTCAAGGTGTAGGCTTGATTGAAAACATTTCAATGAATAAATGGACAAATAAAAAATGTGCTTTCAAGCTTTATTATTCACTGAATATTGACCAAATAAATGTTGAGCTGTGGGCTGCTCAGATTAATTTGCCAGTTCAATGTGCAAACTCCTTTGAGGTTTTCTCAAGCTGGACTCGGTTAATTTCATTACAGTTTGAGGAGACCAGATAAAAAGGAAGATGAGTGAAATGTGAAATTAGTATTTTCCCCCTCCAGGGCTAATCTACAAATCAGATATTATCAATTTTTTTATCCCACTCCCAAATCAAATAATTTCAGAGACTCCATACTGGCTGGGTTTGAAACAGAAATCCCCAGTGACCTGAGACTCACAGCTGTGGTTTACTTGCTTCTTCCTCAACTTCGAAGCAGATTCATTAATTGGGACTTAGACTCCAGCCCGGCTCCCAGGCGAGAGGAGGGGCGGCCCCGGAGCCTGGCAACTGCCCACAGGCCTTGAGGAGCTAGACCCAAATACATCAGTACTTCTTTTTTACAAGACACAATAGGAACTTGTGAAGATTCCTTTTTTATTGGTCATTTAATTTTCCTCTCTTTCAAGACATTCTTTAGTAATGTGGTCCCCTTAGCATCTTAAATCTCTCGCAGGCTGTTACAAAGACACCATTCAGGGTTCTGCTGAGCCAAGCTCTGTGATATCACAAACACAGGAACTGGGAAGCCACAGTATGTTCCCAAGGAAAGACTCCCAGCCACAGAATTGGCAGAGGGCAACCACTGCTTCGAGAAGAGAAGCTGGCATGAATATATTTGAAACAAAAGGCCGAGTGAGGCCGGACCCGTTTTCCACGGGGAATAAAAGCTGTAATCAACAAAACCACCTCGTTCTGTGTTCTTTCACTCTTCTTTCCTCTCATCTTCCCGCCAGCATTACTGAATAAGCCCCACCACAGTCTGTGGTAGAAATCCTGTGAATCACAGAAATGTGACTTTATCGGGAAATGCAAAGCGTGACGCTGCGGGTCATCACCATAGTTCCTGCTTTGACTGGCAGAGTAACCGAGAAGGTAAGTATGCATTTTGTCTACTGAAAGACTGAGTTTTATTTCCAGATGATGGATCCTTGAGACCCAAAATATTGTATTACTCAATAGCAGTAATATCATTACAGTAGAATGGGCTGCCTGCACCCTTTCCTCCCAAAGCAAAGCAAACAAAAAAGTTAGGAAGACTGAATGAGCTGTCATGATCCAAAAAATCGAGGAACTTTAAGAAGAAATAATTTACTTCATCTACCTTACCAGTAAGTGAGCCCAGAAGTCCTCGATGATCAATAAACCACTATGCCATTGAAATCATTTTACCAAGAGAACATAACAAAATCTGCCTCCCAGTATCTGAAACAAAGATATTTGGAGGCTTAATACCCTTTGGTATTACATTCTGGTTATTGTATATTGCATATTGTTAGCAGATATTGCGACTGTTACACAGCATTGTTACAGTAACTAAAACTGGGTCTATTCAATTATACTTGCTCAACAATGAAGAACCCTTAGCATCTTTCCCACAGGATAAAAGCGAACTGTAGAAATCCTTTTTCTCTAACGGCAATATTCAACAAAAGGCCATTGCTTTTGAAAGTCCAATTTAATTAAGGTCTTTGAAAAGTGGTAGACATTTTGGAATTTTACTTAAACACTAAAATCGTGGCAGAGTATTTGACTTATGAACAATATTAACAAAGCCTAGTAAACTGGCATTAAACTCTCCAAATTTTCACTTGCTCATTTCAAGCAAAGTTGTGGAGAAACAAGGTACTGGCTTTCTCCTCCCTCGGTCAGCGAGCCCACAGGCCTTTCTCATCAGGCCCTTGAGTTTGTGGCTTTTATAAACTCCCCCCTGAAGCTTTGGAAGCAGGCTGTTCTCCATAAAGATGTCTGCAACCTTCCCTGAAGAGCACCTATGGGACGAAATTGGCACCATGGTTCACTGTGGACCCTCCTAGAGGTGGTGGAGCATTTGTTCTGTTCAGTTCCTCATCGAGTCCTGAAACTCCTGACTGAGATGGTTTTGAGTTATTCTGGCCCCAACTTGGTACCCTTGCCTGCTGCATCCAAATATCCGTCACCTGCCGGGTACTAACCCCCAGAGGTATGATATGCCATGTTACAGAAGATCAGCAGGACGAGTCCTGCTATCCTGTTCTTTCTCTCTGTGTGACCACAAGACGGAGCATTAACCCCTCTGATTTTCAGTTTCACATTCCTACAAGGGATACACCAGAACCCACTACCCATATCACAGGGGCGCTTGGAGGCTTAAAGTAGATCAGGCTTGTGAAGTGCTCCCCGGAGCACCTTACACAGGAAAAAAAAAAAAAAATGTTAGCTTAGCTGTTATTTTGGAGACTCGTGATACAAGAATAAAAACCTCGGGAAAGCAACAAGAAGAGAAAAATGATGAGTGAGCTACAGGACAGAAATAGATGAAAACCCACAATTACAAAAATATTTGTCATCAACTCATCATCCTGCTCCGTGAAAAGCTATGTGGAAAGGACGCTCTCCCTCATTACTCCTGCAGTCCGTGTTCCAAGACGGTGCCTTCAATTCATTTGGAACAACATGGAGTATAAATAAATAACGAAGTGCTGGATGTTGAGAATGTGTGTCTATAATCTGGGAGGAAGAGTCACGTGTCAGGTTGCACTCCATGCTAGGTGTGCTTTGCATACATTTTCATAATCGTGACAAAAAAGTGGGCAGTCCCAGCTTGAGGCAGTCGCCCAGAGGTAATGAACGCATGGCTGAGCACTGCCCAATGGGCGTGGCAGAAGCCCTAGTCAGCCTCGTGTATGCCTGCAGTTCAAGGAGGATGACATTGGCAGAAATGGACGGCCACGGGAAGACATGCCACTCGGAGCCACCATGAGGTTGACAAGGAATGTATGTGTTGGGAAGATTTCAATGTCGATGTATTTTATTCAGGGGTGAGTTTATAACTGCATGCCAGAGGGCTGGATATTCAGACTGGGTAAAAAAAAAGGTGGGGGGGGGGAGACTGGCATTTTCTGATGAGCCCAAGAGTGCTCTGTGAGGATGATTCTACACAGTGAGTGCTGGAGAAAGGATGAGGTGTGGCTCAGGGTTCAACCTCCTGTGCCGCAAACAATGCCCCTCACTCCCGAGGAACTGCAAAGGCCCTGCTGTCAAAGGGATCAAGAGTGAGTCTGAGGCATGATTGGCTGCGTTGGTGTCTACCAACTCTGCCCACTTCACTGGGCTTGAGCCAGATGTGATGGGAAGTTAATGGGGGCAAGCTGAACCCGTTTGAAGGGCTCCACAGAGAAGAAAGTGGTCATGGGACTTTAGGAAATTGGAGCACAATTGATCAAGCCATCAGTCTTACACTTAAATTTTCCACTAAAACATTCTCATCTGGAAATCATACCTGATAGTAGACTACTGGGGGCTGGTCTTCAAGGGTCAATTTTGCAGGGACCTCAGAACCTTCTCTGCAAGTATTCTGATGTTCTGGGGTATCTCTGCATCCCCAGCAGCTTTATTAGGCAGGCGATCCCACCAATGTTCACACAACTGCCCAGGAAACAGTCCTCACTCTGGCGTCTATCCTCTTGGCCCATGTAGTGGGGAGGGCATTATGGCTTCTGGGAGTTTCTACTCTTCAGGCAGTAGTGGGGTGTTCACTGCCTTTCCAAGACTCAGTGAGCCAGGGCAGCCTTTGGCCACCTTAGGCTGGAGAAGCTTTCCAGGGCTCCACCCTCTCCCATAGACAGCACCGGGGATGGGGGAACCCACCATATATGGTGAAGCCATAAGAGCAAGTTTCTTGACTAGACCCTGGCTTGATGGCAGTGAATATGTCTACCCACTCGTTCTCTGTCTAGCTGATGTTTAACTGACATTTTGGAGATAAGATTACTAGCTAATTTAGCTAGAAACTTCTAATGGTCCAACTGAAGGACTTGGGTATGAAAGTCAAGAATATCTGGCTTTAGGAAAAATGTGTTACCTGGTACATAACATATACGATGACATCCCCCTCATTAGCTGTAGACAAGAGTTTTAAACTTTTAAGAATTCAATTGCATAACCTGGCAATAACATGAGGACCCAAACATATTTATTATACTAACATACGACTGTTCCAGATTATTTATAGTCAATATTGTGACTATGTGGACCGGTGACAACCCTTATCTTCACATAGAGAGTCCAATAATGGAGACAGGCGAGCTAACGGCCAGTTCCATATGATGAGTGCTTTTCGGAGATGTGAGCAAATAGCTGTCAGGGCACAGGAGAGGGACACCTGGACCTCTGGGGAAATCCAGTAAGTCTGACCCAAGAACCAGCACCAGAGCTGGGTAGGAAGGAGTGGCAAGGGTTTGCCCTGTGGAGGAAGTTACTGATGTGCCTAAGGCGAGGACCAGACAGGATGTTTTCACCAGTCGCCACCTTCCCACCCTAAGTGCGGTGGTAATGACTGACTCTACGCATGCCTTGCCTCACGGTGCCATCTGACGCATCGCCTTGCTTTGCTTTGCTTTGCTTTGCTTTGCTTTGCTTTGCTTTGCTTTGCTTTGGACTTGGGTTTTTGCAACAGTTTTTTTGCCACATGATTGACTGGCAACTATTTGACAGTCAGAAGGCTGGCTTGTGCCCTCTTACCACCACTGCCAAATACAAGTGGGTAAATACTAATCTGGGAGAAAAGGTGTAGATGAAACCTGGCTTTTATGTCTAGCAACAGCTGAGAAACGAGAGTGTTACAGCTGAAATCTATGTTCTCCACTGTGCAGTAAAGGAGTTGTTCTGAGCATAAATATTGAGAGGGCATTTCCCAAGCATAACATATATGTTCAAAGGAAAGGGAGCATGAGTGATAGAATCTATGGTTTAACTGCAGAAGGGCTCCTTTTTACTTAAAATTGACTGACTTTCCGTGATGAGCATTTGACTTTGGTGACACACTGAAAAAATGGGAACTTTCTGCTGGGGAGAGTTTCAGCCCATGTTAAAAACAAAGAAACCCATGAAGCCCTTTCTTTTGAGAGTCCAACTTAATTACCAGGCCACCAGCACGTGACCACCAGAGGTGACTCTGAGAACAAAGGATGCCATAAGTTAAAACTGCACAGAGCCCATGCCCACTGATGGGCACCCACTCTGTCTGGCTCTCCTCACAAACACCTGTCACAGAAAGCCATCATTCCCAGTGACGGCAAGACTGCATGAGGGCTTATGAAATTTTTCTCTAATAATTGGGCTTTTTTGTTTGTTATTTGTATGTTATTGGTCCTGTGATGAGTGTGTCTTTCTGCACTAATGCTTGTTTCAGCATTTCAGAGTGTTCACACCCAACACCGATGGAAGCGGCTGAACAGCTGGGGGTGGTAGTGGGTCAGGAGTTCCTTGTGCCCGCCCTATGCCTCTGCTCAGACTGTTCACCTGGAACAGCTTCCTCCTCACCTGTGGGGCAAACCTCAGGTGCCCTCTGAAAGGAAGACTCTCCCCGTCCTCACCTCCCCCGCGTGCTCTCTGATGGGACCCCTGTGTCTCCTTCTCCCCCAGCCCAGCCCACGTGGATTTGTACTTGCCTCAGAATGCATTCTGGGTTCCCAGCTGTCTGTCTGTCCGTTCATGGGTACCACATGCTAGGGCACCCCTAGACTCCTGCCCTCCCTCAGTCCTGTGAAGATTTTGACCTGAAGATTTTCACTATGTGCTTGCTAGTCAGACTGTGCTAAGCATATTGCATACGCTTTTGTATTTTGTTCTAACCCTGAAGCACAGACCAGGAAACAGGGGCTCAGACAGGCTAAACGACAAGCCCCCAGTTATCAGGAGTGTGGGGGCTGACCCTGAGCAAAGGCGCTACTCCCCCACGCCATGGCTCAACTCTCAGCCCAGCTATTACCCCGGGTCCTTCCTCCATTAGTTGTATATGCTACTTCATCTTCACTGTGCGCTCTGTCCATGCCACTTCTCTCTGCCCACAAATAGGCCTAATTCTACTGGGGACAGAGAAGAGATAAACTTCTTTGGATCCTGCTACTCCCCTTTTCTTTTTCCTTTCAAGGCTGAACGTTTTGGAAAAGTGGTAGAAAATTCCCTCCACCCCCGACTGTCCTAGCACCTGCTTGCTTCCTCCTCAACACTTCACTGAAAAGACCATCTCGAAAATCCCTGGTGACCTTGTACTGACCGGATCCTCAATCCCCGTGGCGTTGTCTGTGTCTTCTCTGTCTTCGGCTTCCCTAAGCACACCAGCCCGGAACTCCTCTGCTCACTCATCCCCTCAGTGACCAAGGTCTTTGAAATTCACTTTCACACACAGTTTGCCTACACTTGGCTGTATTCCTCCCCTAAATCCCGCTGTTGTTCCTGCGGTGTTCGCTTGTCTCGGCAACCCCATCTGTTTCCTCCACGGACCCCAACACTGGTGCTGTTGCTGTTCTGCTCATTCCGCAAGCCCCTCTTTTCCTTCTCGATGCACACCCACCCCACCTTCCCAAAGCTCCCGGAGCTACCCTTGGCCGGAGAGCACCCCTTCTTCCTCTCCAGCCCAACCCTGGAGCTCAGGCAAAATAATGCCACAGACAAAGCCCACTGGGAAGTCTCCCAGTATGAAGTCTGGTGTAGAAGCTCCCTCACTTGGACAATTGTACTGGCTTTCACTCCACCTAGACTCATTAAGAACATGAGGAGATGTTTGAAGTCTAGAAAATCCTGAAATACATGGATGAGGTAAGTCATTCATCCATCCAACAATCTCTGTTCTAACATAATAGAATTAGTGGACACTCTTTGAAACTTGAAAGGACAACTTAGGTCAAATTAAACACTGCTTTTACCAACCTATAGCTGAAGAATGAGAAATTTTGAAGTGGTTTTTAAAAGGTCAGGAAAAACTTGCATAAACGTATAATATAAATTTCTAGCAGAGGAGTGGGTGTGATGAGTACCTAGAGTCTATGTGACTCATTTGGCTTGGCCAGTCCCACTCCTCTTCCAGCTCCTGGTTCTGAGTCCCCACAGGACTGAGAGTTCTGTGCATATAGGTTACCGCTCAATTACACATTATCTCGAACTGTTTGATGTTATCCCATGGATGTCCATTCTATGACTTCAGCTAGATTATAAACTCCTTGAGTTCGGGACCACATCTGCTTTTTTTCTATATTCCCCACAAATCCTATTATTGTAACCATTGAGATATTTTGGAATAAACAATAGTAATTAATCTTGAAAAATTTGAGATAATGTCATACTAGTCAACTGTATTTTTTATATTTAAAAGAATGTTGGTACCACCCTCTAGGCTGAATAATGGGCTGCACGGATTGTTGATCTGACCAACTACAGTATTTCATGTGTGCAGGTGTGTGTGTGTGTGTGTGTGTGTGCGGTAAACTATAATTCATTCTCCTAGAGCTAATCCATTTATAGCTGCACGTTAACAGTTCAAGCCAAGCACAAATAGAGACAGACAAAATTATGCTTAAAATTTCCTAACACTACCAGGAGACATCTTTGATGATAATTTTTAATATTAAGGCTATACAACCAGGGGGTCCTGGCTGGCTCAGATGGAAGAGTATGTGACTCCTGATCTTGGTGTCATGGGCTCGAGCCCTGCATTGGGTGTACAGATTACTAAAAAAATAAATAAATGAAACTTTTTTAAAAATGGCTACACAACTATGTGCAATATTAAATCTGAATATATTGTTTCCCTTAAAACAGAACCAAGTCTTTGATAAGAAAAATAATCACTTCTGGGTTTTTTTTGATATTATGCATTTTCTCTAACCTAACCCATCATTTGTAAGTACTTAGAGGCCACTTCAGCTGTTGTCCTTTAAGGATCATAGGAGTTTGTAAATTCTCCATTGCAACAAGACTTGTGGGAAATGTGCACTTCTTGATATAATCAAAACTCGTGAGCCCTAAGGAAATGGAAAAGAATTTACAGGGACTCTTGTCCATAGTCCATGAAATTTCTAAATACTCATTTCATACACAAACACCCAAGTTCACCAGTTGAATTTTTCACTCTACTGACATCATTATCCTGTGTTAAATTATAAATGGCAAGTTCAAGAGGTCTGTTATCATTTTGGATTAAATATAATCCACTGTCTCCCAATTTGGCTACAGTGGATCCTTCCAGACATCAGTGAAGTGAATTCTGGGTTCATGAAACCATATTTACTTGACAGAAGAGAAAATCACAGAAATCGGGATAAGATGTTGGCGCTGAATCGATGGTCTCCCTGTGGAGATGCCCTTCAGAGAAGATTCTTTCTCAGGCATAATTTCGAGGTTACTTTGTAGACAGGAAAACATCTCAGGACAACAATGAGGGTCTTGCAGCGAGGAAGGAGCCACTGGATGCCACAGAGCCTTGACTCTCAGAATGTGGCTCTTGGTCAGCAAAGCGTGAAAATTGCAAACAATTTTTCAGTCTTAAAATTAATAGTGCTGTCATCGTATCTCTTAAAAACCCACATGCTTAAAAAGTATGAAATGCCTGGACTCTACAATAACCTCTGCTTGTTTTTTCTTTCTCTTTTTTCACTTTGAAAAAGTAAAAACTTGAACCTTAGAGGAGAAATAGTAAGTACTAACCTAAGTACTTGAAAAATACAATTAAAGTAGAATCTACTCATACTTCTGTTAGTTGTACCTACAGTGGAGCTATTCCCTTTATTCTCATCTTTTCTCTCCCCCTTTACCTCTCTGCTTTGAAGAACGAAGAGCTTTACAGAAGGTCTGATTGATTCAAAGAACCAAATGTAGAAGATGCTCTCCCGGCAAAGCCATCTGCTAAGCAGCCAGATTCCCCCAGGCATCTGCTTGTAACAAATACGACATAACACCTTCAGGCAAATCGCATGACCCAGATGCCAGTAGACTCGCTGTTCTTGAACCATTTCTGGGTGATGAGGATTTTAATCTTGGCAATCATAAACATGGCTTCCACTTTATTTTAATGGAAGACAATGTTTCTTTTTGTCAATTACTAGGGGTCACATTCTTTTGATAAACTCACATTCTCCTTCGGAAAAGCTACACCATGCCCCACCTTATCATAACCTTTCTTTGCTCTTTGCTTGTACATAGTACAAAATATTTTGAAAGGCACTTAAAGAATTTCTTTAACCTACTATAGAAATACCCCTATGTGCATGAAAAAATAAAACAGCCTCTAGTTTCTGAACACCCCTGTGTTCCTCTTTCACTAAAATTCAAGGACAATATAACTATAAGCTGTACTAAGCTGCTGCTAGGGAAAATGCTATTTTACAGGGAGTCAGTCATCTGGCTATTCTGTATTAATGAGTGCCTTCTGCGTGTTTCCTTAGTTAAAGCTATGATTCACCCAGCAGATGCACACTGAAGTAGCTCAAAGATCAGAAAATGACAAGGAAAAAAACATTTAAAAATACAAATGCAGATTGATTATTCCTAAACTCCTTTTTCCCGCCCCTCCTATCCCTCTCAACCATGGGGAGCAAAATAAGCCCTTGCATTTTCTGACCGAAGCAGTGCCATTTGAAAAGCTTGCCAGCCGGGATGTTTTAAAATGTTGCTGAATGATTAAACACAAATCCTTAAACGGAGAGAGCTGGTTTGTATTAAATATCCTAGAGCAACGCTGTCTGCCCACACTTGTGCCCATGTCTGGCTGCTGGCTGATAAACGTTGTGGTTTTAAGATATTACTTATTAGCATGCCTGTATATTTCTACCTCACACAGTCACCCAGGGGTGATTGCTATCTGTTAATTGAATTCTGTGCCAGCAACTGTGTCTTTGTGGCTCGCCATTACAATTTCTAGGATTGTAACTTCATTTCCTATTTACAAGTAATAGTGATAAAAATATAAAGTGATGTATTTATGCATTCCCAAGTGTGTGATGGGTGCGCATGTGTGTATAAGGATATATATGTACGTATATGCATAAATATATATATTTTAAAGGAGAGTGACTTGAAGTCACAATATATTACAAAAAGACACAATTTATTTAAACATTTCTATCTAGAAACACGCATATCCAGCCACTTGACAGTTTCCTGCTATTGAGCATGGCTGGTGGGTCTACAGAACAGAAGCGGGCATTTTTATTTTTTACACAATAATCAAAACTGACATGGTGGGCAGAATAATCAGTGAACAGTTATGAAACTGCTCATTTACAAACCTGTCTTTTTCCAGGGAGTAGAAGAATAAGCCACAGGGATTGGGTTAGCCCTCTGGATTTTCAGAATGTCTGTGTCTGAATCAGGCATTGCATGTAATGAACCTCCCATGAAGAAGAAACTCGGATCTGGGATCGGGATGACTCTTCATCAGCCATGATGAGTCAGGTGAGGAGGCGGGGTCTGTGGCTATGTTAGAGTCAAGGATCTCAACCACCCTGATGCCAGACTGACCTCAATTTCCTCTCATAGAAAGTGAATCATTTGCTCCCATTTTCCGAGACTCAGCCAATTTCCTAAAGCATGGTGAAAGTTTGAAGTCGTGTAGCTAAATAATATGTCTGATAAGAAGTTTGGTGAATCACTGGTAAGAAAGAAAGGTCACTGACCAACTGACATAACTAATCCAGAAACAATGTTCCGGACAATCCTAACAACCTGAATGACTTCACCAAATTATACAAGAGATATTTCCCAGTTTTGGGAAGATGGAAAGAATGGTTTACGTTTTCTAGGGATAAGTGGTTGAATCTTGGCTATTATAACCACTACCTTTGGTGGGACCCTTAGTTATATACCCATGACCCCTGGTTCTGGATGAAATTTTCCCCTTCAGAAGTCCCAGTGAATATGGGAAGGTCTGGCATATTCCCTTGTTAAAATATATCCTGAGCTTAGAGCTGTGGAATTTCTGGTATCTCAGAATATTTGGATTAAAAACACAATGCCTCTTTACCCCTAGACTGAAAGTGGCAAAATAGCAATAAATGAAAAACGATTAATCAAACAAATGGACGCAGATTTCTAAGGAATCCAACTTGATCAGGAGATAATTTCTCATTATAAAAACTGGTGTCCCCATCCCTGCGTTAAGCATTGGTCCACATGAGTCTTGGCAGCTCGGGTCCCAGAGAGACATGACAGAGGGGACAAAGACTTGCTTTTCTGCACCTACCAAAGCCTGGCATTCTCTCTGCCTGACTCTGAGGATCCCTGATGCTTTCTACAGCCCTTTGGCAAGTGCCCAGCTGCCTGCTGAGGTGAAGTACCCCAGACAGAGAACCGCTCACTCTCTTCCCTACAATACAAAACAATTAAAATTGAACAAATTAAAATTCCATTCTAGTACTGCAGGTGATGTTTTTAGGTATTGGGGGAAATATAATTTATTGTTTTTCAACCCAATTCAAATAAAAATCAAGACTCTACTTTGTAATGCACTGATTTCCAAACCACAGAAAAGACAAAAACAAAACAAGACAGAAACAAACAAACAGACAAACAAAGAGCTTACAACCAAGCTTATAAGAATGCTTGGGGACGGTGAGTGGCACTGTTGGAGAAACAGGAAGACACGAATACACAAAAAGTGAGGGTCGTAAATAAAAGAGAAAGATTGAATGGTGTTGGGAAGAGGAAAAAATCACAACGCACTGGGCGGTGAAAAGACTTATGGAGAGATGGCATCAGTGATTTACCTTGAAAGGAAATTTAAGATTTCAAAATTTGGCCAACAATGTGGGCAGACAACCCAAGCCAAGGAAGCCACATAAGGAAAGACAGACGGAAGCGGAAGCTGTGGTATACTGCACAGCCTGCCAGCACTGGGTTCTAGCGCACAGGTAGAAAACAGAGCGAGCTAAACCCTGAGATGGAAGACGAGCCACATCACGGAGGACACTCCCTGACCAGCCGTGGAGGTGGATCACACGCTAAGTAATAGGGAGCCTCTGACGGCTGTTGAACAAGAGGAGGCTAGGACTACAGATGTGCTTTCAGAACGGTAGTCTGCAAAGTGTGAAGGAGAGGTTGGGCTTCAGGCAGAGAGAAGACAGGTTACCAGCACGGACTATTAGAAGAGAAGCAGAGGTGTGCCAGGCAATGTGGTCACAATGATGCTGCGTAACAAACAACCACAAAATTAACAGCAGCACACAACAGTAAGTTTTTGTTTGGGTCACAAATCTGCAGGTTGGCTGGGAGTCAGCTGATCTGGGCTTCCAGATAGCTTACACCCTAGGACCAGTGGGCTAGCTCATGCCAGTCTTCCTGGGCAAGGGCAGATGCAGAGGACAGACACGTAAGAGCCCAAGCACAGTTTGTGTAAACCCATTTCAAGCCTCTATCGTGTCAGACCTGTTAACCTCCCATTGGCTAAATAAGTTCCCTGGTCAAGCACAGCGCTAATAAAGTAGGGATGTCTACCTCTCCCATGGAAATAAGCAAGGGAATGTGAAAAAGAAGAAAAGATGAATTTCAGGTTTCAAACCTGGGAAGTTATGATTATTTTGAAGCCACAATCTTAAGTATTAAGAAGAAATTAAATTTGGAGAGGAACATAATGCACCCCATTTTGGATGTATTGAATTTAAAGTGTCACGAGAGGATAGCATAGATGTCCAGGGGGAGCTCTTTCTGTAGAGCTAGAACTCAAACAAAAGTCAGGTCGAAAGAAAGCTCTGCTGGTCATCTGCATAGAGGCTGGACTCAAGGGATGAATCAGGTCTTCCAGAAAGACATCATTCATAGAAGAGAGGACAGGCCCAAAGACAAAGTCTCCAAAGGTTGCACCCAGAGCTCAGACTCCACACACAAGGTTATCTCTGGCAGTTTCTCTTCCCCATCTTGCACGTCCAGCCACTTACAAAATCCTGAACATTGTTTTGCTAGAATGGTCATCAAACTTCTCCTCAAATTCCGTTTCCACTGCCACCTTAGAGTTTGATACGAGATAGTAATACATATCATATCCTGTAGAAACCTGAAAATACAGATTTGGAGTTTAGTAGCAAGAGCAAAGCTAGAGAGACAAATACAGGAGTAGTCTCTACAGAGTTGGGGGGAGCTAGAGTTACAGGAATTGGCTGAGATCACCAAAGAAATAAGTACATGACAGAGCAAGGAGACAAGAAACTCAGGGGAGTGGGTCCCTACATTTTAGAGGCATGGAGAGGAAGAAGAACCAGTAAAGGAGAGTGGGTTTTAGTCAGTGAAGATAGAAAAGTAGGACTGTAGGGTGTTGAGACACTAAGAGTAAAGAGATATCTAGGAAGGACGTGGTCCCACACATTGAATACAACAGAGTAGTAGAAGAAGGTGAGGTCTAGGGAAAAGACACGATATGGTAGATAGGAAGTCACAAGGGTTTTGAGAGACACTTTCAATGAAATGAATGCAAAAGCAAGACGACAAAGGGTTAATACGGACCGTACTCCCAAGTATTCAGTGATGGACCCAGAGAGGCAAGAAGGACTCAGCGATGGACCTGGAGAGGACCAAGGCAGGATGCAATAACTAAGGGACATTTTCAAATTTTTGCACAATTAAAAAAAATGGAATCTTTGCATTTGAAGATGTAGTACTTTAGTTAGCTGGTGAAGTGGGGATACTGGAGAGAAGCATTCTAGTACTTTCCTTGTGTGTCATTTCCACACTGCCTTTTCACACATTCAATCCTAACCTTTCACCAGTTTACACCTAACTAATAAGGGTCGGAGATTTGGCTGGTTTTCCAGAGTCATCCAAACCCCAATCAAAAATTAATGTTCACTTTCTATTTCCTTGGGGCTGAAAAGTCTTCTCATCCTGTTATTCTGTGCTAGTAGTTATACGTTGTCCATATCCTTTGAGGACCAGCTCCTACCTACTTCCCAGCTGGAGTTCAGAGCAGTTTGTCTCCTGACACTTGCATGACGTGGGTACAAAAGCAAGATGCCAGAGATTGTTAGGGTGATTCAAGTTGATTGCTCTCCACTATGTTTAATATTTTTTAAAGATTTTATTTATGTATTTTAGAGACAGAGAGAGAGAGAGAGAACTAGCAGGAAAAGTGGAAAGGGGGAAGGGAGAAGGAAAGGGAGAGAATCCCAAGCAGACTCCACACTGAGCGTGAACCCTGACACGGGGCTCATGGGGCTCAATCTCACTATCCTGAGATCATGACCTGAGCCGGAACCAAGAGGCAGATGCTTTACTGACTGCATCACCAAGTGCCCCTCGACTATGTTTATGTTTTAGGGCAACTAAAATATGCTCACCAAGGGCATGGGAGAGTTAAAAGAAAACTATATGTTTTTTATTAAACATAAATATCAAATACATCTGTTTAATAAGACATGAAAGTTTTCTGTAGAAGATAACAATTATTAACAGGAACATCTATCTGAGAAGCCAGACTGGGGGAAAGTGTGTGTATGTGAAGGAGAACATTTGCCACATCTTCACATCTTCTCCATGATAGTAATGGTAATCAGAGCTACCATTTTGGAGCATTTGCAATGTGGGCACTTGACACAGGTCATCTCACTCAAATTGTTTACCTTTCTGATAAACTATTAATATTTTTGAATCCCCAGAGCAAAATGCCCCTCTTCTCTGCACACTGATGCCCTTATCCTGTCCCTCACTGTCTGTTCCATGCCTTTTTCAATATATCTTTTCTAGAGTTGACATGGAATGGGTGTTTCCATTTCTACCACTCCCTGTGGGTTTTTTTTTTTTTTTTTTGGTATAATTACCGTTTATCCAAAAGATTTAAAATCAGAGAATATTAGAATGCAAAGGAACTCAGGAGGCCTCTATTACTCCCCTTTTTCTATTGATTAGAGAACCAGGGCTCTGAGTTGTGAGCTTACAGAGCTAATTACTGGATGAGAACTCCAGCTTCCTGGATCTAAGTCTAACAATTGACACATGACCGTTTCATCTCCCCACAGCAATTCTTGATCTACCACTTGTCCAGCCCCTATCTGATCCTGGATCAGTGGCTGAACTTCCCAAAGCTGATGTCATTCTGCAGCCAGCATGAGTATGGAAGTAAATCCAACACAAAGTTAGGTAATTCTCAAAGAGTGAGTGTGATAAACCTCACTTGCTGAAGTGTAGGATTAGTAGCCATCTGCAAACCAAGCCATTGGCCTCCATCCACCAGGGCTGTTGCTGGCCTTTGGGAGCTCAAGTAGATCAATCCTCAATGCACTAAATGCACTAAAATGCCCTGAGACACAAACACATTGCATAGTCCATAAACACAGCAATTAACTCTCCTGCTGCCAAAAGTTCCTCTGCCAGATGGAAAATGGGAGCTTTCCTAGCCAGAAGACAGGGAAAGCCAAAGCTGGTTACCTAGGGATCTATCACTGCTATTCTTCTGGTCCAGTGGGTTCTGC